ATTTTTTTACTAAATTTACAGTTACGAATGATGCCGCTGAAAGTTTGCTCAGTTATGGAGGCTTAAAAGCAGTCGCATTAAGCCCTCTATGCAAAGTAATAATAAATAAAGGATGTACAAATGCTTGCCAATACAATAGCATATGACTTTGTCGGCTTATCCGAGAGGAGAACGACATTCAAATATAGAAGGCCGATTTGAATACAATGTGAGCTCCAAATAACAAGACAATGTATCTGAGTTCAAGGAAAATGCCTAGCTTGGCAACGATAAAAGTGATGAGGTCTATGCTTCGGGTCAATGGGGCTATAGATTTTCACATGCTGCACTACCTGAGTCTAGATTTGTCAGCAAACAAATGAATCATCAGAAGTGAAAGTTAGTAAAATACAAAATATTTCATCACACCGTTAAGAATAGCAGGAGCGTGTACATATGACTAGGTGAAAGCGACGCTAATAAAAATAGCCGCTTTTAGTGAATGTGTATCCGTCTGCATCATGTAAGTGCGGAGGATGTGGAGATAGTTGAATTTTAAAGGAAGAAAAATATTCATAAGAGATACCGTAAAGATAGAGTAGAAAGAATTCCGTACAGTGATTTAGAAATAAGAAGGTCAAGCCGCATTGAAGGCCTAACTAATCTCGCAGAACACTCATTTGTGTGGAGGAGACAAGGGTCGAAGAGTAACAGTATTTGTGTTGCCACGACAAGCAACATCAATGACATTGTATCATCACGGAAAGCATCGGTATTATCATAAGCCCCGACATCATTGAGGTAGTGCTCATGACGTCGTCAAGTACTCCAGCCGACTTTATTACTAAGAGTCATCAAGTTAAAGAGCCGCCTAAATCTCAAAACAGAGTTCTTAAAAGTTCTGTTTGTTCTGCCAAGCAAATTTGTCCATTTCGCGGGACAGATGTTCAAGATCTGTTGACCCTTGAGGGTGTAGACCATTGGATTGTCTTGCTGAGGCTGTTCGTCAGGACCTGGCAGGGCTGTCTAGATCTCTTTTTCCAGATGAAGTGGGCTCACATGGAGTCAGTTAAATTCAGCCGACTGTAAACACATTGCAAAAGCAAGGAGGCTCTGTGAGGCAGAATTAGGACAGCAACTAGAAGGATCAAACCTGCTAGATACAGAGGATCGT